TGTAACTGCCTTATCGCGCTATCCGACTTGTATGTGAAAAGCATTTCGTACTCGTAACTGATCCCTTCCTAGCGAAAGGTGTGCTCCAATGAAAAGTACACAACACTAGTAGTGCCCCTTTTGACGACCAAGTCATAATGGAAACAATGTATCTCTCTGGGGATGCGAAGAATATTTGAAAGCACTTTCGAACCATCACACGGATTCCAACCCAACTGCCCATGATATGGTAAGAACGGAATGGAAGGGAAAAAAAAGTCTTCTATGCGCAGACGTGAAAGCTCTATCAATAGAACTAGCTTCTTTTTATTTAGAGAGGAACGATTCCCTCGTCTGAGAATCGTCATTCACGCACTATTCCTCCCCACTAAAAAAAGCGATTGAGAATCTCGAGAACCTAAACAAAAATGCAGAAGTGAGCGTACCCCAAGGCTCTCCTCTCTCCCTCTTTTTTAGCCAACACCATCAACCCCATTTTTCACCGGTCAACGCCAAAAATCTGATTAATAGAAGGAAAGGAGATCAGAAAAATAGGCGGACGACTTATAGTATAGGTCGGATGTTTCCGTGAGCAGTAAGCAGTAGATCCCCCCTTATTTTAGGAAAGCTGGTGGCCGCGTGTTAATTCTTTCAAGGCAAGGGGCGGCCTGATTCAACATTGTTGTTTACTCTGATCCGGTCGAGGTGGTTTTCACCAGTGCGTAGGTAGTCTAAGTTCCTATAACCGAGTCTTTCTGGCCCCTGTGAACATCTTTTCTTAATGTATTAAAGAGTGCCTCTCTAACCGGTGAAGGTGGGTGTCCACTAACGGCCATTCCTGGCTTGGCTCCGATAACGCAATTCCGGGAGGAGTCGGTAGTTGGGCGCTGGATCCCTTCGGACCTGGAGAACGTGTGACGCTGAGTCGGGGTTTGGTGAACCAACAGGTCGCTCCCTAGTTGAAGTATCGGGCCCCTTTTTTGTTGCCTAGGTTACACCTTCGGAATACCCCAGAAGGGAATTTTTATCTACTCCCCCCAATCTGCACTTTACGCCACGCCGACTCCCCTTTTGTCATAAGGCGTGGAATTAGACCAAGGGGAATCTCCATAGGAACAAGTCCCTTAGATTTCGCACATAGGAGATCGAGACACAGCCCCAGGGCTATGGGGAAAGATGTAGATCGATCACCCTAGATAGACAACTACATAGAGGGTCTTTACAAGTCAGTCTATATATTCTTTGATTTCGTTCCCCCCGTAAGATCAATATCACAACCAATGAGGTCCGCAAGTTTCACATCTAAGTAATACTTGATCCGATAGTTTACGATATAGATAGATATATATTTAACAACAACATTCTAAGAAAAGATATTAATAGATATCGGTAGTTGTCCGGTCGTACCCAAACAATAAGATTCCTGAGGAAAATGCACCTAAGATCAAATATTTCAAGCCGGCTTCCGTGGAAAATTCAGACTTTCTTTTTGATGCTGCGATCACATAAAAACATAAACTTTGAGGCTCAATAGCTAAATACATGGCAATTGAATCATAAGCCGAGATCATAAAGAGCATACTGCGAGTAGGAAGTGGAATTAATACAATGGATTCAGAAGCATCAAACCTCTCTTGTTCGGAAGAATCGAAACACATCGAAATGGTACCAGCCGTACTTAATAATAGAAGGATTTGGCAGAAATATGTAAAATTGTCCCTCCTAAAAAGATTATTCCAGAATAAATGGGCAATAGTTAGGAGAGGTGCGCCAGCAGCGAGCAGAAGCAAGGTTATTAGATACCTCAGGAAAGCCCAGCCAGAACCACATGTGCAAGTTTCCCTGCATGTGGCTCGTCCGTGATAACTTCTTCGGATTTGCGTGAACTAGCGGACCGATCACTAAGTGGGGATGCTCCCTCCAGCATGAGCGAACCTTTTCGAAAGTGGTTAGGAATGGGTGCCCCTCTCCCAGCCTGGATCCAGCCAGGTTCTATTGATCATGTCCCCTTCCCAACAGTTGGAACTTGTCTTGTGGCGTCTTTGGCTTTACGAGAGAAAGCTCGCCGTAGAAAAAAGCCTTTCTCTTCCCGTCCCGGGTCATAGGTGCGGCCCGACGAGCGGTCCACGGAGCTGCATCCCTACTCACCTGGTTCATGCACATCGCTCTCTCCAGGAGGTTGGCCGCCTATCTTAGATCTTCCCATTTCAAATAAGATCTCGGGCTCGATCCGGTTTAGTATCAAGGTGATTCTTTTTCTGTTCCTATACATATGGGTCCGTGCAGCATTTCCAGGATATCGTTATGATCAATTAATGGGACTTGGCCGGAAAGTGTTCTTGCCTCTATCATTAGCTCGGGTAGTCCCCGTTTCTGGTGTTTTAGTCACCTTTCAATGGCTCCCTTAATTATGTGCGAGGAATTGCCCTATTGAGTAATGGGAAGCGGGCTACTCCCCGAAAATGCCCCGCCCCTAGGTTCATTTGTCGTTGGGGCTAAAAATTTTCCTTGCTCGTTCCTAGATCTTTTATTCCATTATTTTGGATCGCCGTATTATTTCACTCACTGAGTTCTGTAATTCATTTCTCTTTTCTGAATAGTTGGTTGTGTTGGATGATTGATGGGTAGTCTTAGATTTAGGTTCTTTTTCAAAATATGCACAAATCTTTTTAGGTTAGGTGATGTAAGCTTCATTTACAGTTTTCTGGCTTTTTTCGAGCTTCAAAAAGGCTTTAATTATTGTTTCTCCATTCAGGTTTTCTTCATTTATTGTTCCATTTCATCTATGCGGTGTGATTTCTGGCTTCTGTTATATTTTTATATTTCTTTCTTTTCTTTTTCTTCCTTTCTATTGAAAAGGAGTCCGCTTTCTTCGCACTCATGAAAACAACCTGAAGGTGGAGGGACCAGGAACTAGTGGGAGTGGGAGCCAAAATAGGGCAAGAGCACTAGAAGTCACAGTAGCAGGCATCATATTAAGTTTGGCGCTAACAGAATCCATTTCGAGCAAAGGTATTCTCATATCACGGACAAGCTGGATCATGAAGAAGAGGTAAGTGGGCGGGCAAAAAAGGGTTAGTTCAGTTTGAAATCGACAATTCGTTCCGTTTTTTCAAATAAAAACGGGTAGTTAAGAGCATCAATTTCGCCTTTTATATCTTATAGAAAAGAGAGGAAGTCTAGCGCTGGTCCTAAAAGGAAGATGCTTTGGGGCATTCAGTAACTACCTAGTATCCTCTACCCTCTCCCGCCTTTAAGGACTCACGGTAGGAGAGCGATGAGTCCGTTCCCTCACTCCCACTAAAAGAAAACTCAATGTAAAACCGCTCGGGACCCATCCTCCAATGGGGCCCTTCTCTTAATTGTTGATCCTAGCAGGGAGCTACATTCATACTGAACCAAGGAGGCATTATGGCGGGCACGTACGTGTAGGAAGGCCGATGACTATATAAGCTAAAAGACTACGACTACAAGCCAAGGCGGAAGCTACTCGCTTCTATTCTCGTTGGGATTAGATATGGATGGGGAATCTATAGATCATAGTAGCTCTCTAATTAACATACGATATAATTAAACTTCACGGAACGGCCAAAGGAGCTTCGCTCGGTTGGCCTTCCTATGCTGACGAATGCCTCTTTTCTCTTCTCTGAAGTCTACAAAAAACAAGTGGGAGAGGCAGGATTCGAACCTACGTAGAAAAACTTCAACAGATTTACAGTCTGCCGATTTTGACCACTCGGCCACTCTCCCCTTCCTGGGCCGAGGCCCCCCTTCGTAGCTTCTAGCGAAGCTGCGAGTTCATGAGCAAGTGCCGCATCTCCCTCCCTTCGTCGAGCCTTTCCTTTAATGGTTGGGGGAAGCATTCCCTTATCTAAACTTGGCGGGCATTCTTTCTAGCCTGACTCAAATACAAATAGGTGGTGGGTTTGTTTGGTTTTAACATAGGCTCAAACATTATTTGAAGGGTCCTAGCCACACGGATCTTGCCCCCTTGTCCGGGTCGATGCCATCCTATCTTCTAAGTGACAGACTTAAGCATGAATTTCTAAAGTTGCTGCTCATCAATGTAAAAATGAGACTTTTCTCTCGGCCTCTTTAATGCCTAAAAAAGATCTGTCTTATCTCAAGCATGTGAAAAGCCCTATCCCATCTAGCAGCAGGGTGGAGAGCGAGACTGACCATTAATTCGACTATTCTAGAGCCTATTCTAACTCCACTATACAAGAAGGTCCTACTACTTGTGTGAAATTAGTCGCTTGAGAGCTTCGGGCTAGGTTATGGACGAGAGGCTAGATATGATTTCCGAGCGATTCAAGGAGAGAGCGATGATAGTGACTTTCTCCTAGCTAAGAAAGGTAATCGATCCCCTTTCCCGGATGGAAAAGTTCGACCGATAGGGAGAGAAGGCGTTGGTGAGGCGACCAGAAGGCAGTTTAGTTTACTGTTAGAAAGCGAGAGTAGCTGTCTTTAGGGTGCTAGTTCCCTTTCTAACAAGCTGACCAGAATAGCGGCCCTCACTTCTAGTCCCACTTATAGCCTGATTGGGACTTCTTTCTCTCTTGCTTGAATGCTAACCAACTTTTCTGACTCTGGTTAGTAGCTCTATACTTTCACTCGCTTGAAATACCTTATCTTGCTGTAAGTGAATTAAGTTACTTTACTTGTCTCGTTAGAGAAAGGCAGCGAAGTAGAAAGCGAAGCTGGAGCCTTAGCTGCCTTGTCAAAGGAAAGCGAAGGTTGAGCCAAGCTACTTGTTAACTCTGGGTCCCATCCGTCCTGCCAAGAACTCGAACCGCCAGCTCCGTTCACTACATTCTCTCCAGAACTCCAGTTTGGCTTGATTACTGGAACTCAAAAGCCCTAGCTTCTCTTACCTTCTAGAACTATAAGGGAATTTCGGTAGTGAGGAACTGTCCCTCATGTTCCCTGCCTAATCTGAAAGACTAGCTCAAGTCAGAACTCATAGCTCAAGCTCAACAGCCTAGCTTCGCTAAAGAACTATGATCTACGACCACCCTCTCTCATCCGAAGCCATCATAACATAACATATGTATCAACGATTCCAAAAAAGGACAGGAAATTGGATCCATCCCTGGAGGCATAGGCATAGACGAAGAAAGCAGAAGCATAGGGGTAGATGAAAGCAGGAGCAAAGGGGATTGAATGATGGATGAATCTTTTGAACTGCTTGAGAGCTGGAAGATTGGGATATCCCGACTTCCCATTCTTATACCCGCTTTAAAAGGTAAGATATCGACCTTTGTTTCAGTCAGAATGAGTCCCCGGGACGCCGGGACATTGGCTTCCACCAACAGTGAACTATTAAGGATCGCATCCTGCGTATATTCTACATTATAGCCTACAACTGATTCAGCTTCCGCTTCTGGGAGATCAAACGGAGCTCGATTAGTTTCTGCTAGACAAGAAATAAAGAACATAACCAATACAGGGAACAAGGGAATATCGGACCATATCTGCTTTTGCGCCATGACAATCTCACTCGAATTACGGGGACCTACACATATTAGTACAATATACCGGGGTCCCCGGCCAGAACCACACGTGCAAGTTTCCCTGCATGTGGCTCGTCCGTGCTTTTCTATTCCGCTTTGCCGCATATTATATTAATATAGTCCCGTTCGGTCCGCCTTTATTCATCTATACCAGCTGCCACGCACGAGCCCATAGAAAGGATTTCAGCACCCCTCTCTAGATAAGAAGCAGAACGCGCTATCACCTACAGCCCTTTCCTCTGTCTGGGACTTCCACGAAATGAAAATGGGTGGCATCGCCGTATGCTCCACTTTTGTTGCCCTGGTTTATATCCCGGAGTACTCTTATGGCCGATCTGTCACCCAACCTAATTAAACAACCTAAAGGCTTGGTCCCGTCCCGTTTGGAGAATGACCCCTTATGGCACGGCTTAGTCAGTTATTCTTGCAGTTAAGATAAGATTCGGACCACCACTTCTCTAAAAACATGGTTCTTGCCCCCCTCTCTCCTCCCTCCTTTGAGCTCGTCCATTCGTTGGGTGATCCCTTGCTCTCAAGTTCGAGTGTTTGCTCGTCGTTTATCCCGGTGAGTGAGATTTCTGCTCATTACAGTCACCTCCGGGCTTCTTCGCATCTGGATAGTACTAGGACCCTTGTGCCCCGGCCCTTGATCAGATAAAGCTGCCCGCCCTATGACCCACAACTCAAAATGAGCCTTGCGACGAGACGCGGACATTCCCCATGCTGCGGTTCCCTCCGGTCCGTTCCCGGGTTGGGTTAGGGGAACATCCAAGCGATTTCCTTTGCGGATCCAAACGTGCTCACAAGGCGCACAATAAGAATAAGACCAATAGAGACTTCATAAGGGACCATCTGAGTTGCAGATCGTAATGCTCCTAGAAAGGCATATTTCGAATATAAAGGGGTGAAAGTTCCCAACAATCAATGACTTTTTCATTTCCTTATATGAACCGTACGAGCACGTCCTTTGTCACCCCCACCGCGCTTACGGCTCTATACCCCAACCCAACGTGCTCTGGCCCCGGGTCCTTCCTTTCTATTCCTCGGTAAGCGGACCGTAGGAGCATGGGGGCGGTATCTGCTTTTAACTGATAGAATCTCTCTTTTCTCCCTCCTGACCGAAACCGCCAAAAAACAAATAAATAGATAAAGTTTTGATTGCTGGGAGAGTTGTGTCGGAGACATCTTTATCTGAGGAGGAGGCTTCGTCGTCCGGCTCCTCATAAATGATGTTAGGATGGGCCGGACCATCCTCGGAATCCTAAAAAAAAGAGTGGGAACAGAATCACTTTCTTTCAGTGACATATCTAATCAGACTGAATAGGATTTTAAGAGCTGTCACGATCATTCACATCCATTTCAGTAGGCAGGAAGGGCACGGAAGCTACCGTTTCTAGAATGTGAGCAAGCTAGCTTGCTGACTCTCCTAGTGGTTTGGCGGCAAGGAAAGGGGCATTCGGGAAGCGACTAGTCGCTTCTGGCGAAGCTTCTAAAAGGCCGACCACTACATAGAGAGATCCATATACCAGTCATGAGCGATAGCGAAGCCTAGAGAGGCGGAAGCAGTAACTTCTAGGATGAGGCCGAGCCACAAGTGGAGTGACCAAGGAGGCCTACTATACCGATACTGGATTAGTAACCGGTGAAATCCCCCAATCAAAATTCAAGTGAACTATTGAATAGTGTGATTGATCAGACAAGTACCAAGGCTTTCGGTAGACTTCTTTCATTTCCGAATTTGCTTGCGACAAGTCCTAGCATTAGTATGAGTTTGTTGACCGCGTAAGGGTGATCCATCTTGATGACGAATTCCATGATAACAAGAACTAGAAATTAATCATTCGATGTCTGCTCGTTCTCCCCTCTTCAATTCCCAATGAACAACAGCGATATTGCATGATCAAGGTGATTGTCACGAAAATTGTGAAGATAAATTTGTTGGTGTACAGTTTGTGCAAAGTTATATAAAAAATCATTTTTCTAATTTTAAATTAACTAGTTTTAGTTATATAAAAAAATATTTTTTTTAAGTTTAATTGGTTTTCTTTTTATGATAAAATGTTTGTATATTTTTATTTCTAGTTCTAAAATTTATTTCATTCATTTATCTTTTATTTTCATTTTCTCTTTCTACTCATAACCTATATATATATATATATATATATATATATATATATATATATATATATATATATATATATATATATATATATATATATATATATTAGCCGTTACCCCAGCGCTAAGCAGGTACACATAATTTCTTTCAAAAGTTAGATTCCAGAAACGATTAGTTTTTTAGCGCAAAAAGTTTATTACATCTTCAAAATTATCTACCGGTGCACCATTGATACCGGCAAGAGGATACCACAACAACCTTTTAAAGTTTCTCACTAACCTCTTACACTCAAAATTTAACACATAAGATAAAATAAGACCAAAACTATTATCACCCACCATTAAATATTCTTTCTATCCCACTCTTTGCGAGTTTTAAGAAAAACTAAAAACGGGGACAAATGACAGCACCAACACGGGTGGAGAAAACAACGATTTGGCGGTGGTGGAGACGGTAGTGTGTCGTGGTGTGGTGGAAACAATAGTGTGTGGTGGAGACAGTAGTATAAACAATTTTTTCCTCTAGAAACTTAATATTTTATTATTTTTCATTTTGGTCCTGTCTTTTTGGGACCGGTCCCGAACGAACTTGGGTCGGTCTTTTTTTGATCATGATGTATTTAATGACCGGTGTTTTTTAGATCCAACATAACCATTAGACAAATATTTCATATTTATTTCAATTTTTGTTATTCATAACAATAAAGAATATATTACATACAAATTCAAATAAATATACTTGTATTACAATAACTTTAACAAATCTTCAATTTAAAACATCTGTTTTGCGAAATTTTTATTCTTAACAAATAAATTTTGACATAAATAAAACTTCATGTTTGAATAAATGTCTTGTATAAAATTTTGATATAAATAAAACTTCATGTTTGAATAAATGTCTTGTATCAAATTTTTACATAAATAAAACTTCATGTTTTAATAAATGCCTTGTATGTCACATGGAAGTAAACGTAACTTTTTATTTATTTTTAAATAATTTATATCAGTTTTTTTTTTGTTAACCTTTAATATTATAAAGATATACATCTCTCTGTTTTGTACCCATTTCATTTGCTAATAGCACTTAATAAAATTTAAATAATAGATTCATAGAATTAACTTGGTAACTACTTTCTATAAACTACTTTCTATAAAGATAGAACAATGAATTATTAATACAAACATATCACACTTCAAAGTTATGCGCCTGTGATGATACCAAAATAGGTTGGGTAAAAAGAATAAATGTAGTGTTTATTTAGATATTTATACCAATGTTCAACTTATCTAGAAGTTAATACACAATTCTAACCATTCAAAAGTTAGCTCTTATTTATGAGAAAGAGAGAATCTGGCATTCCTTGCTTGACATAATCAATGTTTGGAACCTAATTGTTACAAAGTTATCCAACATTGGTACAGTTCGAAGCAATAATGAAAATGTAGAAGCGTTAAATGGTGTTTTTTTTTTCAGTGAATGGTTTGTTTTTCAATGTACTACCTTTGGCAGCTCCATTCGAAGGATAGTTTCTATCTAGGTATGTAGTCACACAAAGTTGCAGACGTCGAATAGTTTCCTTTTGTGTGTCCCCATATGATCTTTAACATGTTTATAAGATCCATTTTCTTTTGCTTCACTCTTCATACCCCAGGTGAAAATAAAATTACCATCTACCATATTTTGATTCCCTCTTCACATTTATAAGATCTATTTTCTTTGATTTTTAATTACAGCATCACACAAATGACCTTTATACCCTTGGTATTGAACCATCGTAAACTTTTGACTTAAAAAATCAGGCAATATGTAATGACATGTAGAAACTTAGCAAGTATTATTTCATTGACCTAAAAAATTAGGATATCTACATTGTTTCATTGTTTAAATTATTTCAAACATAAACAATAGCAATGTACATGCATATACATGTTTATTATGATATCCTGCTTTCATTTATTCCTGTAAAACACTATATACCTCGTAAAATATAGTATCATATCCAAATCCAAATCATTTCTCAATGTTTAAAGAGAAAACAAAAAGAAGTGAAATGCTATTATTAATAGGATTTTCAAATTTATACACATCTGATCTCAACTATTCTTTTACTCATGATACAACACTTTTAATTTCATATTTCCACATCAGACCCACAGTCTTCTACAACTATTTGGAAATGCTTTTGGAGAATCTGATATAGAATAAAACCATTCCAGTAGATTGTAGCTCTTTGAAAGCTAATGTGATGGTGTGAATTTCGAAATCCTCCTACAACAGGTTACCCTGAAAGAAGAAAAAAGAAGACATACCACCAAAAGAACAAATGTTGTACAACAATTATCAAAATCCACTTACAGAGTACCATTATGGAAAATAATAAAAACAAAATTCCCAGTATACTATGGAAAATAATAAAAACAAAATTCCCAGTATACGGGTTTAAAATCAAGATAGAAAATCATTCACATACCACAATCTCTCATAAAGGTTAAAAAGAAACACCCTACAAACAAAGTTAAGATAAATAATTTCATTTCAGAAACATAAATGTTTTGATGCTTGTTTCTCTGTTTCCCCATGGGAGATTTTACTCAAATACATTCATATACACAAGAGAAATTTAAAATCAAGATAGAAAATACAAAAGTCAACAAAGCACATTCTAAAAAGATAGACATCAATTTTTAATAAATTTGTAATATGCAAATCACCAATGTTCTTCAAGCCTTCTTCTAAGCCTACTTATTTGTTGTTTATTCGGTATTCCTTTTACAATCTCAGCAAACCCAACAAAACCCCTGGAACTAACACCTTGAGAAACCCTAAAAAGTAAAAAAGCATAACCATAACAAACAAATTTAGATTAAATTAATGAAAAATAGAAACAAAACTAAGATTAAGCATTCAAAATAAGGAAAACTTACTTTTATAACTTCCATGGCTTTAATACGAAGCAAATCCAAGTTCGATGATGGGATTCAACTTC